GGACCAGTACCGGTCCGAGGCCCGGGGGTTGGGGACCGCTGTGGTAATCGATTCCTCTTGCTACAACTAATCCCCCACCTCACTGGATCCGAGCGTCGAGCACTGCATGTGCTATTACTGCAGAATCTAAATTGTCAAAAATTAGTTACTTCAGACAAATGATGTCACAGAAACTTGCTTTTGTCTTCTACAAAAATAGAGAGGAAAAGGGAAAGACTGAATGCTGCGTAACATCACGGATAGGAGAGGACGGAAAAGATGTTCACTCTTCAAATTAAAAAATAAAGATGATTTCAGTTTTATTTTATTTTTGTATGCAAACATATGAAGTTTGGAGATCAACAGAAAAATGTTTGAAACAGTCTGAAGATCAATCTTGCTTTAAATACTGGCAGCTAGGGATGGGTATCATTTAGGTTTTATCCAATACTGGTGACAAACTAGTACTTTTGAAACGGTGCCGGTGCTTAAACGGTGCTCAAACCGGTGCTTAAAGAATGGAGAACACGAACTTTGTCCAAAAACCTCTCATGTTCAGCTGTTTTTTTGTAAAAAGTTAACAATGTTAGCCTTTTCTGCAGCTATAGGGCATATATGGTATCACAACTTCAAAACACATCATCATACGTCGCCTTGATCTCAGGTTATCGCATTGACAAACTTCAGTGTCCACGCTATTCATCCAACTCCCTGGTGGGGTGATGGCAATACCCCATCAGCCTTTTACAATTGAAGGGTAAAGAAATAGGAATTTTTTTTGTGCACCACACCTTTGCTCTCAAAATGCACAATAATAGTAAATAAGTATCTTGTAGTATTTTTGTCCATCTGATTTTTTCTTTACCCTTCAATTGTAAAAGGCTGATGGGGTATTGTCATCACAAAAAAATTCCTATAGATGCATTTCCTTTTGTAGTACTTGTGTAAACCAGTACAGCTGAAGTACTCATCACTGTTGTAGTAGTAGTTCAGCTGTGATCTGAACAGTCAAGCAGGAATATGTCACCATTATTTTTGTTCCCTCCACTTTTTTATGGTGGCGTCCAGGGGTGGGCGATATAAACGATACACGATA